TGGCCGGGGGGGGCATCGGTCGGCAGGTGGTGAGCAATTGCACTGTGCATCACTTGCTTTGTGTATTATTATTATTATTATTATTACTACATTATTATTATTATTTTATTTCAATTATTAAACTGTTTTTATCTCAACCCACAAGTTTTTCTCACTTCTGCTCTTCCAATTCTCTCCCCCATCCCACTGGGGTGGGGGAGTGAGTGAGCGGCTGCGTGGTACTCGGTTGCCGACTGAGGTTAAACCACGACAGTCTGCTAGCATCTTATCTCAGAGCAAAGACTGCTTTTCCCTCCTGAGATTCCAGATCTTTCTTTCTGTGTAGCAGAAAGCAAGCCTCTCTGAACATTTCCTTTGCTGTAACACTCGCAAAAGAACCCCTCGCAGATGTTTAAAAACCTGAACCACAATGGGTCTGTCTTTTCATTTTGCTCATCAGAGCTGCAGTGCTGCCACTGCAAGGGCACGCACCCTTCCTTGGTGAGCGAGGTCTGGTGGGGCTGCGTCCCCTAGTGCTGCCCAGGACCTCAGGGGGATGCTATGAATCCACAGGGAACTTCAGAAGCCAGCCAGCCAGCAGCCTGAAATGCACAGTCAATGGCTGTCCCAGGCAATTCCTCTCAAGATGGGAAGGGGCAGTTATTTGGCTGGTCACACTAAAATCCAGATAAAAAATTTCTACTGCTTATGGAAAAGTCTCCACAACTCATCCTGGGGATGGTTTCCAGGCTACGAGCACACGTTCTCAGGAGACCTGTCATTATTTATATCACACTCTTCTGTGAAAGAGAATGCAGATTTCTGTTACCCAGGAAAAAGTAGCATTAGGTTTTATGTTGCTCTAAGCATTACCATGGAAGGGCTGGGTAAGCAGAAAGCAGCACCTCCTTGCAAGGCTTGTTGCTGCAGACAAGTGCCACAGACTGACATCTGCCCCACAAGCTGTGTGGCAAGACTGGGGCCTCTCTCCAGTCTCTCTGAGGTGGGTACAGACCTGAAATAAAATGCTCCAGGGAGAACTGTCAATTCTTTCCCTGTCAGCACCAAGGGCAGGCTGAGCCTCTAGGTAATAGCAGTGAGGGATCTGCACACAGAGTAATTTGTCCCCAGAGCTGAAATCCACCTTTTGCCTTCTCTCTCCCATTTCCAGCCTTATTTGCACCCCACAACCCACCACAACATTTACGTACTTGTTGAAGGGCCCCAGCCACCCCGTCGCTCAACCACAGCAGAGGGGATGCATGGAAGATTGGACGCTCAGGGGAAACGGGCACTTGGCAAAGCTCTACCCTGCCACATGCTGCTTTGGCAGTAGGGATTGGTATTTGGGAGGAAAGGGAGGTGCTTCCATCCAAAAGCAACTTCTTCAGCAGAGAAGACCTCATTTTACCTACAATCTATGGGGAATAATGCAGGTCTAAATGAAGAGCATTGCAGGCATTGGTGCCGTCACAGCCCCTTACGATAACAGCTAAAGAGCCATTAGTGTAGCAGAGAAGGCAGGTGGCACATCCCAGGCTGTACCAGCCCTACCAGCCATTCCCAAAGACGTGCCAAGAGTGAAACCGCCTCTGGCACCCAAAAGGCACTTTTGTGGCTCACTTTTCTGGCTCACACACCAGATACGTGCACACCTGGCAGGTGAGGTTTTTGCAAAAGCAACGGGAAGGCAGAACTGAGAGAGGAGGGGAAGGCGGCTGCCAGTGGCTGGGAAATCTGGCAGCTCTATGCAAGCGACCTTCACTGTACAAATCCTCACAAGGCGCTGCAATAAGATCAGCAAAATCTGGCAAAAGCAAGCAGGGCTGTGCTGGGAAACCCAGGAGGGACAGTTCAGCTTGTCTTAGAATCACAGAATCATTTAGGTTGGAAAAGACCTTTAAGATCATCAAGTCCAACCGTTAACCTAGCACTGCAAAGTTCACCTCTAAAGCATGTCCCTAAGCACCACATCTACACGTCTTTTAAATACCTCCAGGGATGGGGACTCCACCACTTCCCTGGGCAGCCTGTTCCAGTGCTTGATAACCCTTTCGGTGAAGAAATTTTTCCTAATATCCAATCTAAACCTCCCCTGGCACAACTTGAGGCCATTTCCTCTCGTCCTATCACTTGTTGCTTGGAAGAAGAGACCGACCCCCACCTCGCTACAACCTCCTTTCAGGTAGCTGTAGAGAGCGAGAAGGTCTGCCCTCAGCCTTCTTTTCTTCAGGCTAAACAACCCCAGTTCCCTCAGCCGCTCCTCACAGGACTTGTTCTTGTGCCTAATGGAAAACTGAATGAAATGCTCTACCTACGTATCATGTCCTGCAGGCTGAAAGCTTGTGAAACACTACTGTTAAAGAAAATAAGAAGGGAAAATAGCAATGTACCCCAATAAAGATGTGTATTTAGAGAGGTGCCACTCTGGTACCTTAAAAAAAAGCAGCAGCCCTCCTCATGTTATCATGGGACCAATATGCTTTAAGAGACAGGAGGAAGTAAAGTTAAAGTATGACAGTGGAGTCAGAGATTTTATTTCCAATATCTATTCTTGTGCCAAGATGTTGTGACCTGGGCAAGTCAGTATCAGACACAAATTACATGAAGATAAATTGGACTTTCCCAGCCAGTCTCAACAGATGTGGGGTGGGCAGGTGCAAACAGTAACCTGCGCAAACACTGATCCACGCACTCCCAGGATTCACACTAATACATCAAGGGTTTCACTTGCAAAACCCCTGCTGTAATTGGGCTGAATATACAAAGGCGGACCACGCTCACAAATGAGCGTGCAGCTGCTTACCAGTGTTATGCCCTTTATATTGAGGGCACAGATGCATGGGACATTAGCCAAGTGGAAACTTCATGAACGTCAATTAAGTGATAAACTTGTCATCACACTCCTTTTATATCAGGGTTGCGGGGAAAAGCCATGCAACTTTCTTAGTTTTGCTTGCAATGGAGCACAAGTCAGCACTGCTATCCAAGCACCCTGGCTGGCTCTGATTTATATGCCATAACAAAACCAGAAGACACAAGCAAATAGGGATACATCATCCAAGCTATGGTCACAGGCTCTCAGCCGGCACAAACGCAGTTCTGCTGAAGCCACGGGAGACAAAATGACTCACGTAAGGCTGAGGATCTGCCCCATGTGTCTAGTATGTGCTGAAAAATGTGCAGCTCACTTAACTTCAAACTTACCCTCAATCTCAAGCAACGATTCAATCAGAGGCTATTTGGTACTAGCAGAAATGCACTCATTTTGATACATAATTGGAAATTTAATGCCTGATGCCAACTGGTGCCATATCTGTCTCCAAAGCTGGTATCTGGTGAGGGGCAAAAAATGAAACCTCACCATTCAAACTTGACAAAAGTCCCAAGGCCAATTCAGTAACATGGCTTGTCTCATCTCCCCTCAGTCTTGGAAAGTACATGTTTTGCAGTAATCTATAGACATTAGTTTTTGGGAGAAAGTGTAGCCTGCTGGTAGAAACAAGGCATTTCCATA